TTGAGATACGCTTATTTTTGTGAGAATTTTCTAATCAGAGAACAAGAGAAAACTAAAATTTTTATAATTTTACTCTCACATCGTTTGTAAAAAGAGAAGACTAATAACATTTTTCGGGTTTTTTTAAAGACACATGTCATGGCCTTTGGAGAGAGGTTGAGCTCCGGAATCCCTTGTTAGTGTTGATATCATTACGGCACGGGCGGATCTACGGGGGAAGAGGGGAGAGGGGCTTTCGGGCTGAAGCCCCCCAAAATGGAAAAATATTACCATGTTTTATGGGGAAAAAAAATTTAAAAATACCTCTAAAGTATTATTGTTCGTGTAATTACATTTAAAAGTACTTAAGGAATAACTTAAACACCATTTCATATAGGTAGTTAGTTTCTTTCTATTTTTCCAGAGAATTATCGTTATTTTTATGAAAAAAAAGGTTTCGGGCTGAAGCCCCCTCCCAAAATTAAATCCTGGATCCGCTAGTGCATTACGGTAATTCCGATAAATAATAACATAGTATGCTGTAGTTTCGATTTAGTTGGTAATTAAGAATAAGATATATTCTTTGGTATTATTTTGTCCGATCTATAGTTACGACACTGAGAATTAAATAATAGTGATTAAATTGAAACATTGTTGCAATTAAAATTGTATTTAAATTTTAAACATGCTACTACGTATCTTATTTCGTATAATAAATGATGATTATAATATTTTATTCTTTACTTACAACCGAGTGTGTTTTCCATAATAATGAAAAAAAAAAAGCAAGGAAAAATATGTTGTTTGCATTCTCTCATTTGTATTTGAACATGACTGTCAATTTTGGGCTACTTTCGGCATTCCAGTTACAGTATGCTCGAAGTGATCTTGAAAATAATCGTTGTCTTGGTGTAGCGATTCGGAACTATTACGGTTTGCAGTTTAAATCTATATTTAAACTATTACAAGTTCTGCCCACAACCTTCATCGCCTCCAAGGCCGACTTTTGAAACTGTATCTATCGCTTATGTGTGGTCAACATTTCCGTTTCTGCGGTTTAGGCTCCGACCAACCCATAACCTTCCCGAAGTTTCCATAAAAAAAAGTAAATAAAAAATTATTCAATCGAAAAAGAATCATATTTTTTTGTTATGTGGTAAAAATCTTACAACGTATCTATATATTTTAAAATTTTAATACATTTAATCGTAGTTTTTCTTTCTATGTATTGTGATCTGGCATCAGCAGCAAATTGATTACGCTAGCGAAGGTTACTTTTAAAACCTAATTAAAAGCCAAAACGGAATCCAGTATATTGGTTTCCATTGTGAAAAGCATCACGTTGCGGGAAGAACACTTCCTGCCCCCTACATCCGAAAAGGAAGCTGTTACTCACTGGCCGCTGGTGCTGAATGGTAATTGGTCCACTGAGGTTTTATTTTTCAGCTTTTGTTTTTTACAATTCCGTATGTGAAACACGGAAACCATGATAACGGAGCTGCATTTCAACTCTAATTCTCGACACGCCCCGTTTCCAACAGCGGTGTTAAAATATTTCTTTATTGTTCGGTCAATAGGTGATTGACTTTTTTTTTCTATGAAGCATGGCAGATTAGTCATTGAAAAATAACCGATTACCGGTTACTCCCGTTTTTTCAATTTCGGTTTACACCTCAAAAATAAGCGGTTCCGGAAATAAATGTTTTTTCAATTTTTGTGTTCTTTTTTCAAGGGACTTTTTGTTCATCCCGTATTACACAGAAAAAAATGGAATGACTGGCATTTCGTTTTTTTTTTTTTTTTTCAAAATTCTGAATGAGGAGAAAAAAGATTTATTCACAAAATATAACATTTTAGAAATAATATTATTGTAAAAAATACGCTTCCTTTCAAGTCGCCTCTGGGTAACAGACGCACTGGCGACCCAAATTGACGATACTCGGGTATCCGTCGCGTCTATTTGTCATCGTCCAATCTGAGGGGAACCTAAAAGACTTATTACTCCACTTGCTCAAATATTCCCCCCTTCTCACCTCCAATAAACAGTTAGTGGTAACCTAATTAAGTTAAATGGATTCAGTTTTATATCATTTTGTGGAATATCATTACATGTGACAGACATAATTATACTAAACAAAACTATTAATTATACTTACCAAATAGTAGAACAAAGAGTGACGAAATTCAAGTAATAGGTTAAAAATAACTGCAATCTTAAATTCTCTCTACTATTGCTTGTGGATGCGGAACGTGCCCTCATGGATTGAGAAGAGAACAAGCCCCATAAGGTTTTGAAAATAAAGTATTGCTTAAAATATTTGGACAGAATGAGAAGTCCAATTCTGGAAAAAATTGGTGCTACACAACGTCGAATCGCGCCCAATATACACAATTAAGATAGGCAAGCGTCCCAAGGTCAACCAAAATGTAGATGGGAGGATCGTGTTAGGTATGGTCTTGAGGATTCGGCTATTGGTTGAATGGAGGATTGTAGTGAATGATTGATGGTTTTAACGGTGTCGAACCTCCTGGTTCGCCAAATAAATAATTAATTTATTAATTACCTCTCAGCCTAAAACCCCTCCTTCGCACCCCTCAAATATTTCTGAATCCAACCACACTAAAATTCTTGTTATTTTTCTCAAAAATCACGAAAATATGTTTTCCCAAAACATATTGTCGGATAATTTTCTTGGAGCCTTTTTTAATACAAATAAAATTTCAAAACCATAAAAATGTTTTAGGAAAAAATACATTTAAAATATAAATATTAACATTATTTGAATGACAGTTATCGTATTCTTCATCTTTGATTGAATTAAATTAAAATTTAAACATGGCATAAAAAAAAAAAAAAAAAAAAGTCTATTTATAATATGATCAATGGGGATAATTATTTAAGGAATTGTCACAAAGTAGATATATCATAATACAATTGTTAATATGTCTTGATATATTAACCTATTAGTAATATTTTAACAACTGTTGTAGGACTACACATGAATATTTAAATTTTTTTTAGAATTTCTCTGTTAGATATTTTATGACCAATTTTAAGGGAAGTAATTTCTTTGGGGCTGTTTATTTACTTACTAAATAGAACACATTAAGATGGTTGTTGCTTAAAGGAAGTTGAGTAGATGAGACTAAATTAGTAGCTGCTCTCCCTGTGTGAAGAGCTAGTCCAGTTCTCTCCATTTTTTTACTGTGGATACATCCCATCATCTTTCAACATGGAAATGGATTATGCCTCGAGAATTTTAAATCTTCCATTGTATGTTTCAATAATACTGGTACTTAAAATAATCTGTTTGTTTGTGCAAGTTCCTTAAAACTTTAAAAAAAAAGGTTCAGATTATTACTTATTAATGTTATTCTTTGACAAAAATATATTGTAAAAATTCTAGATGTTGGCTATATATTCAAATAATTGAATATGCACTTAGTATGTATATTAATACATATTACATGCAATTATATATTAATTTATTTATTACATATTAATAATACATATTATATTCAATTATTTGAAAATATAATTAACATCTGGAATGTTAATAATTTATTTTTGTCAAAGAATAACACTAATAAGTAATAATTTGAACCTTGAGTTTGACTTGCATAAATTCATTTTTGTACAATATTACATTTGCATACACTCTGTGTATAGTGTATACATTTGCATACACTCTGTGTATAGTGTATACATTTGCATACACTCTTTACTGATATAATAGTGCCGATGTATAATGTTACTGTGAAAGGAAAAAATAATGAATACCTATAAATATTCTGTAAATTTATATTTATATTTAAAAAATCATATATATATATGATAAAAAAATATATACAAACAAAATATACATACACAATATATATATATATTATATATATATATATATATATATATATTATATATATATATATATATATATATATATATATATATATATATATATATAAGGAGGTGATTTGACCGATATCACGCTCAATCGCCATTTTGACCGATATCCCCCTTAATTAATAAAATAACTGGGTTTAGGGCCACAAAAACTTATAAATTCTAACTTAAATGGAAATTAATATAACTGATTTTATTACCAGTTATTTTAATTAAGAATCGCTGTACACTAATCACTATCATCTATTAGTTTTTATTAATAATTGATAATAATAGATAGTTTCAAAATTATTAATACAATTTTAACAATTAGTTTTTAGTGATCAACTGAAAGATAGCTAATTTTACAAATACTGTAGAATATTTTTTAATAAGTACTGTGAACATCTTCTGAATTAGGTTAAACCAAAGAAACCTAGGTTGCAAGCATTATAGTTAATTAATAAACAACAAAGGTTCAGAAAAATCAAAAGTTTCAAACCAATAACACCAACTCTTTTTTTTCTTCTTTTACTACTTACTTGTTCATTTCTGGCATAAAGAAGATGGAGGAATGGTTATTTTTCAGGTATATTATTTTTTGTTCTCCTATTTTTCAGCCCTTTAAGTAGTTGCTACGAAAAAATTCTTTTAAAAAAATCACTACTTTATTATAGCTTATAATTATTGTATTTATAATCACATTTTCTATTTTTTTTTTATTTACAATTAAAAACATTCAGGTTAATTTACAATAGCAAATTTATTTACTGGGGCATTAATTAACCCAAATATTTTTAATTTTAAAAAATATATATAAATAGATAAATATAAAATGTGATTATATTATACTGAACTATAATAAGACTGTGATGTTTTGTTTTATAAAAATGATCCTTTAAAATGGCCCAAAAGTAAAACGTCTGTGAATGAAAAAAATAAAGAAAGACTAAGGAGTCAATCGTGAAGTTTTTTTTATTGGAAATAAGAATTAATAATTAACCAATTAGATTAAAACATATATTGATCAAAATCAATTTTATTTTAAATTGAAGTATATTATAAAATCATATTCAATCTTATAATTATAAAAATTCTTATTTTTCAACTTTTTTTTTATTAGCCTTTTTTCTTTTTTTTAGCACTATGCCTTCAGATAGTATGGATGATATAGAATTGAAAAACATTCAAATGCAGTTTCCATCATCAAAAAGTTTTAGCAGAGACGATCCATCGATAGAAGAAGTCAGGGTTGAGACAGATAGAGGCTCACTTCTAGTTGCAGTTCAAGGCAACAGAAACAAACCAGCCATCTTGACCTACCATGACTTGGGTCTTAACTGTGAGTATTCCCTGTTTTGATTGTATTAACTTTTTTAAATTCTTAATATTTCTTTTTTTTTTTTTTTGTAATGAAAGTTAATATCTATCATTTATTTATATTTTACAAATTCCTTTAGTTTTTATATTTTCATTTGTTAACATTTAATAAAAAATAGGTTTTATTTGTATTATATTAATTTATGATCTTGTTCATACAGCATTTTAATGTTTTAGGATTGTTCTCCCATCAACAGAAATATTTTTCTTATTATTCCACCAATACTTCAGTTTTCAAAGCTATATAATAAATTATATTACCACTTATTAAAAAATTATTAGACTATAGTACAAATATATCTGTGCAAATAGTTATGATCCTGTGATTTTTAATATCTGACATCTGACATCTGATTTTTAATATTATTCCCACAAATATTACTGAACTAAGGCTCAAAATCAATTTTATATAAAATATAAGTTCCTCTCATGCTAAATGCCATGAATGGGTTATTGCTAAACGCAGAATTTCACGGAGAGTCAGCGAATCATGCTCTCAGTATTTATTTTTCTTTCAAAAATAAATAAAGTCGATCTAAACATTTCATTAGGCTTCAAAACTGGAACAGTGGTAAGTTGATGGACCAGGGACAGTGCTTTAAACCCTAAAACAATTTAGAGATAATGCACGGGAAAAGGTTTGCAGTCACACAAGCTCACCTTAATGTTAGTATTGACATGAAATACATATCACACATTGTTGATTAGAAATCTATGTATCAGAGAGGAGGGAGTTATATGTATTAGTTTTTATTAGTGGATTTTAAGAAAATTTATTTAGAATTTCATTAGTATTCTAACTACAAACTGAAATATTTCTGGAGAGGTGTAGTTTGCTGATTATTTGAAAACCTAATTAAAAGATAATATCTTTTTCTTAGTCGAAAAATTATCATATCAGCCTGAAAAATCAGGAAAAATGTTATTTAAGAACGTAAACTTAATTTGTGTGTAATTAAAAAAGTATGCAATTTAGGATTGATCATATTCATAATGATTAGAAAGCTTTCTAAAAAAAATAATCAGGTCATTATTAGTAAAGACGTAGTCTATTGAAATTTTGTAATTTGTTTTTGCTTATTGCTTTCAATTAGGAAGCATTATTAGAGATCAAGAAATTAAAAATAAAATTCTCACTTTTATAGTATATTTCGTTTACTTATTTTCATTTGTTCACTGACCAATATACTGTGTGAATGAATTACACGGGCCGACTAGTAAATTATTAAATGCAATGACTATAGAAGAGATAATGCAATAAAAAAATTATATTGTCTGATTATGGTGATACAATAGCGAAACATTGAACTTTTTGCTAAATTATTAATATGATAATTAAAATTTTTCATTATTAATTTTCCAGATATTTCGAACTTCCAAGCATTCTTTAATTTCTCTGAAATGAGGGTTCTATTAGAAAATTTCTGTGTATATCATGTAAATGCCCCTGGTCAAGAAGAAGGTGCAGCTGCATTCCCTGAAGAGTAAGTAGTTTTAAAATTAAATTTAAGCCCATTTTAATGTATATTTCTTCAAAACCAATGATTAAGTCATCATTTTTAAGATTATCTTCACCACTAATGATGAAAAATAAATAAAAAATTTAAAATTAATGTTTCTTTTAAGATCCAAGGGAATGGAGTAGCTCAGTGGTATTGCACTGATCTTCCAATGCTCACAGTCCTGGGTTCAAATCCTGGCTCATGGCAGAAAAATTATTTATTCTGTTTTATCTGCCATGGGGCGACCCTTTAGCATAACGGCATTTCTCCTCCACCAGTCTTAATTTGGTCTAGTGTTGACTTATCAGATCTTTTCTCTTATAGCAGTGTTGTTTAAAAACATTTCAGTGACTCATAATAAAAATTCAAGTTTGCAAAGTTTGCATTTTTTTATTTTTATATTACATTGTACCATATTTAATACTGTAGTATAGATCTCTTTTTGGCTCTCAGGAGCAATGGATTTTGACAAATTAGATGTCAAAAGAAGGAGAATTTCATGGAGATGTGATAAATCCAAATTATGATCATTAAATTCATACTATAATTTATCCAAAGTCATGGAAATAAGTAGGAGGTTTAAGAACTCTAACATGGCTCGGATGTTTTGAAGATTTAGATAGAGACATCATTAACAGATAAAATTCCTTCGGAGTGTACTGTGCCATGTGTTTTAAAGCCCTAAAATGTACTGATTATTAGATATACTGTAATTCTTGCTGAAAACCTCCTAGATTTTCAAAGGTTGCCATTTGCCAAGGAATACTTATCACATGATATATAGTTTTTTTTTTAAAGTTGAAGTATTGCTATTTATTATAGTCTTTGATGAACTAAAAATCTATTGAAAAGGTAAACAAAGTACTAAAGGTATGTAAATAAATAAATATATTTTCACTAATGTTGACATATGTGCTATGATTTTAAATTTTATTAAAGCACTGTAAATTGGTTTGAGAAACAAGTTTCAAGGTGATGAATCAGTATTCTTCCATTTTAACTTTAAATAAATACAATTTTATTATAATAGGCTCAAAACTATAGGACATTTATTCTTACTCTTATAAATTTAAACATTTTTAAGGATTCTTACCCTTATAAACTCTCAAATGAAAAAATAAAAATAAATAAATTGTATCAGTTGGTTTAAGTTTATTTTTTTCATTGAACTAAATTCTTTTTAAATATTAAAGCCATTTTAACTAATATTTTTTGTTTCAGTTACGAATATCCAACTATGGAAGAGCTTGCTGCACAGTTAATGTTTGTTTTAACTCATTTTGGATTGAGAAGTGTAATTGGAATAGGCGTTGGAGCAGGAGGAAATATTCTTGCACGGTTCGCTCTCAATAATCCTGACAAAATGGAAGCCCTAGTACTGATCAATGTTGTATCAACTCAAGCAGGATGGATTGAATGGGGCTACCAAAAGCTCAATGCTCGTCACCTGCGATCAAAGGGTATGACACAGGGTGTCCTGGATTATCTTATGTGGCACCATTTTGGCAGGGTAAGGTTTTATGAGATTAATTTAAAACCATTTTATACATTGTAAGTCAAGAATATTTCGTATACCTCATGTTTTTCCAGTTTACAAACACATTTGACTGTATAATATTTATTTATTTTATTAAAATTGGAAGCCTAATCAGTAAAATAACAGTTTTAATTAATTATTTACTTTATAACTTTAAATAAATTAACCCAAAATAAATATTTGCACATTATTATTTCCCATTAACATTTTTATGAAAATTATTGTTATCGCAGATCATTGATTTTAAGTCAACCACCTCTTATTATGTAATTTTGTTCCAAGATTTTCTGTTAGGTTTTGTTTTGGAGGATATTTATTGCTGTGTTCTTGGTGTAACTTACTCTTTTGAAGTTATCTAGCAGCTATTTATAAAATTATTATGTGATACCTGTCATATAAAGGAAATCATCACTTCCATATAAATTTTGAACTGGAAGTGCTAATAGAATATAAAAAAAAAAACTATCAAATAAAAAAATATAGTTCATAAATATATTGTAGTTATGTTAATTATATCTATTATATGTAAATAAAATTTAAGCTAAACTTGTTTGTTATTTATAGTAGTTTGAAAGACTTTAAGATTTTCAGTTGGAATCTTATAATAATGTCTCACACAGATATAAATATTATTTGTTCTCAGTTTTTTTTTTGTGTATGATTATCTGGCTATTTAAAAAGTTTCTCCTTTGTCCTTCTCTGTTTATTATATCCATGTATTTTACTGTTGATTTACTTTATATTCTATATTTTGCAGGGAACAGAAGAAAGAAACCATGATTTAGTTCAAGTTTATAGAAATTACTTCGAACACCGTGTGCAACCTGGAAACTTGGCCTTGTTTATTGACTCTTATATAAGGCGTACTGACTTAAACATGACTCGAAGCTTGGAGCCGAATAAGAAGGAATGCCTAACTCTGTCCATGCCAGTCATGAACATCACAGGCGCATTGAGCCCTCACATGGACGATACAGTCACACTCAACTCTCGCCTTGATCCCACTAATTCCTCATGGATGAAGGTAATTAAATACTGCGTGATGTACTTTAGTTCTAAGTTATAAAATAATATTTAATAAATCTGTTTACTTACAAAAAAAAAAAGATTCAGCGATCTTAAGGCAAAATCCAACTCTATTTTATGCTTTATTTTTCCTCTTTTTTTCAGATATTTAAAAAATGTTGCTTTTTTGTTGCTTAATTTAAGTTGTATTATCTTTAAAAATTCATTTCTTAAAATACATTCAGGTTATATAAAAATAAGTTGAAAACCTTTTATAGCAGACTTCATGCTCGAACATTGGCACATGAATTACTTGTAGCTGGCTCAGAAATGTTTTTATAGAACAAATTAAAATAAAGTTTATTCAACAAAATTGGTACATCTTAATAGGATAAGATAAACATAAGTATCAATTGTATATTAGGTCTACTCCAACACAAGTGTTGACTATCAGAAAACTGTCAGCTGCCTGCACAGTATACCTTTTCTGTTCTAAAACTTGTACCCCGCTTGTGCCAGCCAATATAGTTAAAACTTGTGTTGGAATAGATCTATTGTATCTTGTTATTGTCTAAATACAAAGTTAATCGAATGTTTCAATTCAGGTTTCGAAATAAAGAGGATCATTAGCTAGGAAAAACATTATTTTGGCAATAGCTGATTCACTATTTATTTTTATAAAGTGTAGATGTTACCTATGATTTTATCTGTGATATATTTGGATTATACTTTCCTGTTTCATACACATGATGTATATATAATTTAGTGTGACCAGAACAAATTTAGAGTGGCTTTTCATCTGTACTTGTTGGTAGTTCGTCCAGCATGCAGATCAATTTTGACAGACAATATTAAAAACAAAAAACAAGACTTGACAGAAAGTGTCTTCAATATGTTAGCTTATATTAATAAAGTTTTCTGTGAGCATGTTATGTTTTAATCTATTTAAAGAAAACTTACAGTACTTCAATATAAACGAATACTTTGAATTTTCTCCTATTGTATAAATATCTGCCAGTTTTCTCGTCCACTTGGTTTTTGATAAGGCAGCAGATCATTATTCATGAGAACAATGGTCTTCTCAAAAGTGGATTACAATTTGCTTAAATATTGGTCCCTGTGTCTTATTAATAGTGACTGCAAGTGATATTTATAGGAATTTGTGTTATTCATAAGGGAACATTTCTTCACCACCAGCGCCACTATAATTAAATGGCTGGGACTATGACCACACTTCACAGGATTCCTTTCCGTCCCTTTCAGAATTTTATTATAAAATTTGTGTGGAATCAATTGGACTGTTACATTCACTTTTATATTTATAATTGTATGTTATTTCAATAAGTTAATTAGTAATATTTTATTTTAGATATCTGATTGCGGCATGGTTTTAGAAGAGCAGCCTAACAAAATCAGCGAAGCACTTCGGCTCTTCTTACAAGGCCTGGGCTACGGTAAGTTCTAATGGAAGTTAAGATCTCACTGTAAACTAGTCTCATTAAATAGGGTTAACTGATTTTTAATGATGAAATATTAAGAAATCTCTATTGATGCGATGTTAATTTATATTGTAAGCAACGCCTTAATGAGTTAAATGTTGTCCTTATAAACAACAATATAAGTACGTAAAGCCTTTTAACGATGTTTATGCAAGTTTTGAATATTTTAGTAGCTTTATATGTTTCTTAACTCTAGACTGTTATGTAGATTTACACTATAAATATATATACACGTAGGAAAAGAATCAAAGCTACTTTAATTTTCTTCATATGTGATTAAAATATTTTAGTACCTCATGGTTAGGCATTATTAATGAGAATTTAAGCTTAATTTATGTTTTTATGTAGCGCTTCTGTTATGGTTTTCTTTTATTTGTTTTTGCTTATACCTTTTGAAAATGATTTCAACGTCTTTCATATGGCGTTAACATAACAAAATATTTTACCTAATTCACGCATACACCTTACATTTTCATCTCCAAAGTTTCTTTTTTTTTTTTTGTTATTTTTTTGTAGTTGAAAATTCATCTCTTTTTTTCCCCATTCATGGTTTTAGCAAGCATGAAGCATATTAGAATTTCAAAATATGTATTATGCTCATGTGCAGGGCTTTTGATTAATATATTTTTATTTTGCTTTACTTTTGCTGAAACATTTGTTAATAACAATAATTGTGTTGTAGATAGAGTGATGATATTGCTTAAAATTGTATAAGTCATTTATTTTTTTTAACAAGTCAATAGTTTATAATCTTATTTCTAAAAAATAAAAAATCTTTGCTATTTAATATAAAAGCTCTATTTTGGTTTATTTTTTAAAAAAAAATTATGGGACTACAGTGTAATTGATAATTATAAAACAGAGAAAAAATCATGTGACACAATAAAATATTTTAATTTAAATAAAGGTATGCAAAATATATAATTTGTTCAACAAAATTCATTGTACTACTGAACTTAAAGTTCATAATAATATTCAGTTACTTTTTAATATCAACATTATTTATAAAGTACTAAATGTGATAATTTTGTTTTAAATTAACAAAAACAGTGTTATGTTCTTAACCTCCATGCTTTTGTTGCTATTAATTACAGTAAGACCCCCTCCATCTAAAAGGATTTTTATAAAGCTACAGAACTTTTAAATAAATATGTATAGATTCTTATATGAAAAACTATAATGGTATTATTAATAATGATGACATGGATAGCTTTTGCTATAATAGTAGTTTTGTTTCTTGTAATTTCAACGAATGTATTTTTTTTAAAATAACTGTTTTATAATTTCTGCGTTGGATGTTGCATCCACTAGATGTGTAAAATATATAACAGCAGCAATCTTTATTTTGGTAAAGTAGCCTTTGTCTTTTACTTAATTTTTTTTTTTTTTTGTTATTCAGGAGCTACTTTTTCACTATGTGTTAGTCATTGATTTGATTATTAATCTTCAGTTATCTAGAACAAAGACCACTTACTGAGAAAGGGTATAATTTAAATAGAAAAATATTTGCTGAATAATTAATCTTTATAGATTAACTAAATCTTTGTAATTCATGTCCATTTGTCGACATGTCAAAACCAAATTGGATCATATACATAGTTGGACAATATTGATTCAGAAGCCACTTCCTATGGAAAAGATATTATTTAATTATATTTGCTTGGCCCAATTTTATGCTTCTAACAGATATTAAGTCTTACGATGCCTTCTTGCTTATATTGTGCTGGGTGGTTAGCACTTTTTAGTTTCTCCCTAGGAACTCCTAGTTGTAGGGGGTCTCACTGTGTAACCTTACATTTTGCATTGTTAAGTAATGTTATTATTTATTTTATTTATTTATTTTAGTTATTTTTATTATGTTATTATTTTATTTAATACAAAATTTATTATATTAATTTTAAATTAATAAAAAATTATCTTGGTCATGGATGAGTTATCGTTTATTAATTGTATAAACATGTCATGCATAGGTAAGTAAAGTAAAAATAAAATAAAATTAGTCACAAATAATAACATATTACTAATATAAAATTACATGTTACTAATGTACCACTTATTTGCCTTATCCATATTGTTTTTTTATAAATTATGAGATTTTTATTTTCATTTGAAATAAATATCATATCTTATTTGCTACTGTCGTATGCAATATTTTTAAGGCATTATGTTTAATATTCAGAATTTATTCCTTAGACATTTTGTTTTAATTTATCCGATAATTATAATCAGATAATTCTCCTATAAATGTTGATGACATTCCAAGTCTTTGTTTCTCTAGGCATACCTTTATGTATTTTAATTTTGTAACTAATTATTGTTATAAATCGATTTATTTAGTTTAGTTACTATTAGGAGAGTAAAAACAAAAAAAGACCCAGGAGGAGATATTTTTGTATTAATTTTATTGTTAATTCATCTCTTAATATGTATATATGGAAAAGCTTTAATTTTAAATTATGCTTTTTAAAAGTTTTGTAACATTTAATTTAATTTTTAAAATACCACAATCCTTGGGAATTTTGATACTTGCTAGTAATATCACAATGTATTTGTTTGTTAATGATTGTTATGATAAAATTCTTGAGACTTTGAACGTTCCTGTTTCAAACCTTTGTTCCAACTAATTTAAGGGCTTGTGTTCAGTGTGTTAATGTGTTTAAATGTGAGCAAGCTACAATACTAGGTGATGAATCTATATAATAAATTTGTTTGTAACATACATTCACTCTACTTAAAATTATAATCTTCCCCAAATTATAAGGATACTATTACTTTGAGACAAATTATGTGAACATTGATTCTGTTTAATTAGTAGAGGATGTTAGATGTTATATTTTCAGCCCTTCTAAAAAGTTCAAATAAATCAATAAGTTTAATATTGAAATATAAAATTTATTCATCGTCTTTTTTCTAATTTTATGTTACAGTAATTTTTGTTTTTAATTCTTCAAAACGTGCTATACCAATGTGTTAGATTGTACTTCATGTCGTCTTTTTGGCTTTACTGTCACTTAGAGTTAGGAAGCAACTAGGGTTTTTCAATTTCCAGGAACCTGAGGATTTTTCCAAATGATTTAATGTCTTGAATAAGATCCACAAAAAACAGATTTGTGAGGACAAATTAATTGTAACCTGTGTAATCATGTTTCAGTCCAGTATAAAAAACTCAAATCAAAGATTTAAATGAAAAATCTAAATTAGATTCGGTATAGCAAACCAGCATACATATTCCTTTGTTTGCTGATAACTGTTATTGCTGTAACCATTAACATGGAGTTTTTATATTTCTTTTGTTTTCAAGCTGCTTTAATATGTACTGCTTTGCTTCTACTACATTTTGAATCGCATAAATTTTATTTAACCCGTATGGAATATAAATGTTTAATATAGAACTGAACTTTTCTTAAAGACAATGTAATCAGAAAAAGATTTGTTGGTCATTAAGCTGTGAAATCAGATTATTTTGATTAAAAGATGTCTTTTTGTTATGAAACTTATTTTTATAATGGAAATAAACTTTTAATAATGATTAAATGCTTAGGAAGAAAAAAAAAAAAACCAAACATATTTTAACAAACAAAAACATTAATTTCTGCCTCTTATATTATATTAATCTCTCCTCCTTATTACATTATAGTCCCCTGTTGAACTTTTATTCTTTGAAAGTAAAACTTTTGGACACAATTTTATTTGTGTGTGTTGGTCTCTTAGACAATCAAGTAATCACCTGGTAATATCCTTAAAGTACTTTATATAAAATATAATTCAATTATTTTTTCTCAACTATCATTTGTGACTATGTACTTTTCAGACTCCGTTCTCTAAAATATAGTTTCATCACTGCTGCATTAAATACTTTTTGGGCCTAATAAATTGTGCTCAGGCTTACAAGATGTGATGTATACGTTCCGTTCACTGCCCATAATTCAATTTCTGTTTTATCTTATATTTACTCCTCAGATTTTACAATAAAATCTTAATAATAAGTAACCATACAATTACCTGAAGATTAAAATAAGAACAAAAAAAAAATTGAAAATTTACTTTTTATTTGGAAATGTATTTTAAGCTGGGACCAAAGGCTTGAAATTAAAATGGTCTGATTTTCTTTTTTTTTTTTTTTTTTTTAAACATGGTATTTACTTCCACATTATATGTTTGATTTTTATTTTACTATTTTTAAAATGATAATACATTTCTGAATCTAAACTATGTTAGTTTGTTCAATTCAAAAGTAAAGTTTTAACTTTTTTTGATAACAGCTATTGTATTTTTATTGGATGGGTTGTTTCTTTGCTAGATTTTTCTTTCTTACCATCGCTTTAGAAAGTATATAGTGAACAATTAATGCTTAAAAAAAAAAACTGGGTGATTATTATGAAATACGACAATATATTCAATGTTACGTGTTTTTATATCACATATGTAGATATTTTGAAAATTGATGTATATTGCTCATTATTTGTTAAATAATTTTTAATTGTATCAAATATATTCATTAAATTTTATATATTCACAGTTGTTAGGAATGAAATGTGCATTAACTTTTTTTTTTTATTAAAAAAAAATAGTATTAACTCATTTTGTGGTATATACTTCGTGAAAAGCTGTTACTTTGTTAAAAAGTTATGCTTTTATAAAAAATAAATAAAAAATAAAAAAAATCGTGTAACATTTCTCAAATATATAATTAATGAATTGCCATTTTGTTATTTAAATTTTTTTTATTGAACTTTGCGTTTCTTCAAGAGCTCCTAATATTATTATATGTACGTTATTGTTTGTTTGTTGTTTTAATAAAATCATTTCAACAATGACTGGTTGTTTGATTTTTAGACTGAATATTTTATTGATTTGCAGTTTTTATTTTATTTTACTTCCCCTCTCCATCGTATTTATCCAAATTCAGTAAAACCTTGATTAACTAGAGTAAAGAAAAGAAGCTAGTGACATAG